CTTTCTATCCACTTTATAGTCCATTTAGCCAATCCATATTCCCTTAACTTGCTGGCAAGAATATTGTGGGAGACCGTATCAAAAGCTTTTCTAATATCAAGGTACATCATATCCCCCGTCTTCCCAATGTCCACACAGCCAGTTACCTCATACCTAATCAGACTGGTCAGGCATGACTTGCCCTTCGTGAATCCATGTTGACTATTCCTGATCACTTTCCCCTCTTCCAAGTGCTTCAAAATGGATGCTTTGAGTCTTCAGTCATGCAGATGAAAAGTCGTATGTGATCGAAAAATTGGCGAAGGCCCAAGGTCCCATGATGATTTAAATCAGTTTTTTGTAGGTGTGTATATATAGCTTCTTTTGTTGTTTCTGTTATACTGCAAGATGTATAATAAATGGAAATGACTTGGTAGAAAAAAGTCAAAATTTGAGGCCCCTTTGTCTCCTGAGGCCCAGGGCCAAATGGGCCTCCTGCCTCCTCCCACCCTGATAGGGCTACACTGATCTGCCCCAGTTTGCAAATGCAAACATTTCTTACATAGTTGAGAGTGCTTCAAAAAGTTGTTTCAGTTTAAAGCTTCTCTAGAGATGAACGATGATATTGTGGTTGAAACATGAGCTGAGGTCTGGAGACTTGTGTTCAGTTTGCAGCTCTGCCACAGCCTTTCTGTGTGACCTCGGGCAAATTACTTCATTGTGCCACAGTTTCCTGTCTCTAAAATGGTTCACTTCTTCCATCACTGTGTGTCCTGTCTACTGCAAGCTTTTCAGGGACTGTTCTTAGCTAGGGCCTCAGGCATTACTGTAAAACAAATAATTGTATGACCTTTTCCTTACAGGGTGATGCTGACAAGCCACCTGCAACAATGAATCAGCTGAGTGCTACCTTCACTAACAGAACAAGTGCTGCATAACATTTGACACTGAGACCTTTAAATGGCTCCTTTTAAGGCTGTGATGGTGAACTCTCCATTTTTTGTACTCTCTGCTCATCTAGTACATGGGCAACTTTAAGGCTTATGGTGTCATTCTGCTTTTCAGTGGTTGTATACTTATCCGGCCTTGTAGATGTGATAGGTAAAGCATGATGTTGTTATGCCTTTATGGGATTTACAATGAAGTTCTTGTTTCAGCATCTCAGTGACTGAATTATAGCATTCAGCAAAAGGACAGATGGATCCTCATGTTGGGCCTCATCCTAACACATGCTGAATGGACTTAATTCCCAATGGAAGCAGTGGGTGCCCTTAGGTTTTGGCTTTATCATCCAGGGAGAAGAGATAAGCAGATAGAGAGCCATCAGGAGAGGAGAATAATAGCATCCCTTTCCCTTCAAACAGCAAGACGGGGGAGAAAAAGGTAGAAGAAGTCTAACAACTTGTCTACCTTTCTTGGAGGGAGGAGAACAATGGAGAGTCCATTGGGAAGAAGGAGGCTGGCTTGATGGAATGGGATAGGACATGGTTTTAGTTCAGTCTTCACTTTCTAATCCAAGAGAGGGCAAGAAACTTCCTTATAAAGGAAACATTATTCTTAGGAAAAGCTTTGAGGCAATACATTGTAACCTGTAGTAAAGAAAAGATGATGTGCCTGTCCCAACTGGTTATGAGGGTGTGATGACTTCTTTATAAGTGTACCCAATGGGTGTGTCTGCTGTGCCTAGCTTTCTGCAAGAAGGTTCTCCATCTCACAGGCTTGGTGTTCTGCCAGATCTGAGTCTTGAGGTGGACAATGAACTTAAGAACTCAGTCAGATTGAGGTTTCCAGCTTCTAGTTAAAAGGGTGGCAGTTGCATTGTCTCTCCTTAATCATCGTTTTTCCAGCTAATTCCTTGGAGCAGCTTCAGAGATAATGAGAAACCTGCCTCCTCTCTCAAAATGATTTTTTTGCAGTAAGAGCCACCAACAAGTGTGTGTGTTGGGGAAGATAAATGTGAAGGTACATCTACACTGCATCCCTAGTTTGGACTAGAGATGCAAATGAAGACGACTGAAGTAGTTAATGAAGCGGGGATTGGGGATTTAAATATCCCGCGCTTCATTAACATGATCTCACCGGCGCGCTAGTTCGAATCACAGCTGATTCGAACCAGGAAGTGTGTGCCGGGATGTGTTAGTTCGGACTAAAGTCCTTAGTCCGAACTAACGTTATTCCTCATTTTTTGAGGAGTAACATTAGTTTGGACTAAGGGCTTTAGTCCGAACTAAAGTGTCCCGGCACGCACTTCCTGGTTCGAATCAGCTGTGATTCGAACTAGCGCGCCGGTGAGATCATGTTAATGAAGCGCGGGATATTTAAATCCCCACTTCATTAACTACTTCAGTCGTCTCCGTTTGCATCCCTAGTCCGAACTAGGGATGCAGTGTAGATGTACCCCTAGAGAATAAAAGAAGAGCATGAACTTCCTGAACCATTAACTCACAAACATCCCACTCTCCCTACCTCTAATATCATCAATTCACAGACACTTACCTTCCTTCCTCCCCCCCCTGCATCCCACTCCTGTTCTGCAATGTGATTTGTCCTTTTCATATTTGTTCATTTTTTTTAATTGTATCCTTTGGTATATATGGTTGTGACTACTTTCTTCCACTATTTGATCTGAGGAAGTGGGTCTGGCCCACGAAAGCTCATCATCTAATAAACCATCTTGTTAGTCTTTAAAGTGCTACATTGCCCTGCATTTTGCTTCAGCTACCCCAGACTAACACGGCTACATCTCTATCACTGTATCAAAAGTTGTGCTGCAGTGTATTAATTTTGCTATAATAATCTCATGATCAATTTCTTCCAATGATATCATGCTCAGCATGCTGCTTCTGGAATGGGAGTGGGCCCATCCCCTCCCACTGTGAGAAATAGTGGGTTCAGCATGTTAATATTCTGATTAGGGCTGTAAGTGAGTAGTCAAGTACTCGACTACCTGATAAGAGTAAGCTTATTGGGCACTCGAGTGGAGTACTCGGCTACTTGCTTCTCCTCTCCCCTGGCTGCCTCTGTATGAGAGGCAGCGGGGAGAGGTGGAGGGAAGGTGCAGGAACTGGTGCTGAGGGGAGCCAGCTTAAATGCTTGTTCCCCCCCAGTACCATCTCTGTGGTGCTGCCTGTCTTATTAGAGGCAGTGGGGGGAAGGGGATGGTAGGGATATGGTAGGGGCAGTCTCTGCCCGCAGTGGGTTGAGGCTCACTGTGGGCAGAGGCTGCTCCTGCATCAGCCCCTGTCTGCGGGGGGGTTGAGTGGGGAGCTTCCCTCCCCCACCATGGACAGAGGCTGCTGCTGCGAAGCAGCCCCTGTTCATGGCGGCTCGGGCTGACTATGGACAGGGGCTGCTGCCAGAGCAGACTCTGCCTGCAGCCAGCCAGAGCTGCTGGACCCAGTGCAAGCTGGGACTGAGCAGTCCTGGCTTACACCAGCTCCAGGAGCCACCCATGCTGCTGCTCTGCAATTTAAATATAGTAAGAGCCCAGTGTCTCTTAATACATTTAAAATGAAGAAGCGCAGCGGTCTGGAGCCAGTGCAAGCTGGCACTGCTCAGTCCCATCTTGTGCCAGCTCCAGGAGATAACCCTGGTGCAGCTCTGCAGAGCAGCTCCCCTTATCAACTAATTGTGTAGTTGACTACACAATTAGCAAAATAACCATTCTTTAACATCCTTAGCTCTGATTGTAAAATGTCCCCTACAGTATTGGCTATCATTCCAGTCACTCCAATGCAAATGTAATCTGTGTGGCATTACCAGCAGCTTAAGCATCTCTTCAAGGACATATTTGGTCCTGATGTGCTGGGAGCACCAGAGACTTCAGAATTGTTGATGTGGAGAGAACTCCATAGGTTCAGCTGACCAGCTGTAGCCTGTTGCAACTTCTTGGTCCACAAAAACCTCTCTAATTTAGATTGTCTGTCTTGTTCCAGGCCTGCTACAAATATTTGTGTTTATCTTAAACCCTAGCCAATGGGGAGCTGCCTTGCAATACATTAACGGCTCTACTTTAGATCTGCGATGAAGGTTGATCCAACAGAAGAATATAGTTTTGTTTACATCAATCCTTACATAGGGTATAATACCTGGATTTTGTGAGAACATATTGCTGCTGGAGAGATAGGTCTCCCAGAGCCACACTGGCTCACATGTTTTGGAACTGCCCCAGGATACATTCCCTTTGGCTAGAAGTAGGCAGAAGGATTAAAAGATAATGGATAGCTCCTTAAAAATTATTTCCCAGAACTGTGTTTTGGGATTTGTCCCATCAGGTTGGAATCTCTCCCAACTCATAGAAAGCTTGGTTCTTTAGAGCACTGCTTGTAACCAAATAACTCATGTTGCTTAGGTGGAAGAGCAGACTGCCTCCAGCAATAGACGCATGGCTCAGCGACTTGGCTGCCCTGACAGCTAAAAGAGTGGGTAATACTTGGAGAAGAGGAACTGTAGATAAATTTGAAAAGATTTGGTCTGACTTTTTTGAAATATTTTATTAATCCCTCGTGGATGGAAACTGAGATGTCGCTCTCTTCCCATTCCTGCCTCCTTTCTTCTTTTCCTTTTCCACCCCTTTACTTCTTGTGTATTTTGGATCTTCCCTTATTTTTGTTTTGGGGAGAAGGAATAAAGTAAAATATTAATATACTAAAACAGAACTTCCATGCAATTTCATATCTCTTCCTGGTTATGCCTCTTCAAAAATAAATACTAAGCAGACCATGGGATCACTGTCTCATCTGTTCAGATTTACAAATAATATAATTTAGTGCTAAAACAAGCCAATCATATATTCTAAAAACCCACCTCTTAAATGATCTCATTAATATAAGTACTAAACAACAACAAGGCCTGTCATAAGAGAGATGTGTCTGGGAATCTATTTTTCTATTTACAAATGATTCACTTTCTCTAATGGTAGTACTAGGTGTTTTGCTATAACAGGTTATATTCTAAATAAACTAAATGAAACTATAAAATTCTTTGTACTGAGATTTTTCTGTTCCCCTTTTGCCACTTAGGAAGGAGTAGTATCTCCTGCTGATCTAGACCTTGTGATGTCTGATGGATTGGGAATGCGGTATGCATTTATAGGACCGTTTGAAACGATGCATCTCAATGCAGAAGGTATGAAGTTTTTTTCCTTAAGCATTAAATTAGGGGCCAGTGCCTCTTACTTGCTACACTCGCCAAACCCCCTCTCCGGGGATAGGCAGCCCCAGCTCTTCCCCTGGCTGCTGGGGAGTGCCATGTCGAGGCATAGCAGTCCTGGCCTGGTCCAGCTCTCCCCCCCCCCCCCCCCCCCCCCTTTGCAGACCGAGGCCATGACTGACCCTGCTCTCTCCCTCCGGCTGCTGGGGGAGGGGGCACAAATTGGGGGTGGGCCAGATCTCTCCCCTCTGGCTGCTTGGGAGCTGGGATGGGCTGAGGCTGCAGCTGACCCGGCCCTCTCCCTCTGGTGGGCAGCAGGAGGGGGAAAGGGGCGTGATGCCTGGCCCTCTCCCTCTGGAGGCCACACACCTATGGCTATGAGGAGGGAAAGGCCATGCCGCTCTGGCTCCCCGCTGGTGAGGGGTAAGGCCACGTGGCTATGGTGTGCCCCTCCCCCCTGGACCACCAGCCATGCCACACATGTCCTGTGTGCTCCTTTCCCCTCATGTGAGCCCCTGCAAAGCTTTGTGGCTCCTGTGCGTCCCCCCCCCCCAGTCCCTGTGGGGCTGCGAGGCTCCCACACGCCTCCTCCAACCAAGCCTCCACTCGCCTCTCCTCCCCCACCATGGACAGCAGAGAAGCCGCACAGTTCAATTTAAATTCCAACAGCTGCCCACCCATGTTGCGGCTGCTGGAGGGACACTTAGGGGCCAGTGGTGTGTGGGGAAGAGATGTGCAGGGTGGAGGTAGTACCTCTTTGAGAGATTCCAACTGTCTGATTTGCTTTCATTGCTACCTGTTGTTTAGTTCCTGGATGAGCTGTGGTGCCCTTCTCCCTGGAGTAGAACACAATCATCCATTTAAAACAATGGACTTCAGAAATCTGTCTCCTTTCCCTTCTTTCTCCTCCCTGAGGTTACATTCAATCCTGACTGATATTGTATACATGATATAAGCTTTCAAGGATATTTCAGATTGCCATATCCGTCACAGAAGGGGTGGACATGGAGCAATTCTTTATCTGAGTTCGGATTATGATTTTTAGGATGAATTACTAATTTTTGTCCCAATCCCTTGGACACATTCTCATTTGTGTAATTCAGCCCACTTTTAGGTCTAGTAGCAGTAGAAATAAGACAGAATGGTTCACCAGAGGATGAGTGCAAATATAAGATCATTTTCTTCAGGTGGGTGCAGGGGTTCTAGGTTAATTCATATTGATACCAATTTGGCAAAATGTATGTCGGTGCTGTGAGTGCAATAAGTGGTATGTGTAATGCCCTAAGTCACTTCAGTTGATCAGTTAACAATACCATTAGATATTTCTCAAAGGTTTCTAAGATACTGTATTAGTCTGAGTCATATATATTAATAGAGCTCTGCAAATTTGCAGATATCCACTTTACATCTATGGGTATCCGCATCTGCACATATCCACAGCTCATTTTTGTATCCATGAAGGGCTCTAGATATGAAACCCAGAAAGGGCCCATCAGATCATGTAGCCTGACCTTCTATATGTCACAGGCCATCAACACCACCCATCCATTTGCATACTAAACCCAACAACCAATAAACCCAACAACCAAAATTAGGCCAAAGTATTACAGCCCACAGGAGACTAAACATACTGCAGGCAGACAACAAGAGGGACTCAGGTGTACCAATGCCCGAAGCCCCTTCATTGGAAAGGAAATGATTAAGTGAGATATACCCAGATAACCTTATTGAATAATCCTCATTCACATGCTTCAGAGGAAGGAGAAAACCACTAAGGTCACTACCAATCTGACCTGAGAGAAAATTTCTTCCTCCCCCAAATGTGGCGATCACTTAGATCCTGACCATGTGAGTAAGAACCAGCCAACCATGCACCTGAAAGAGAGAATGGCCTGGCCCGATCCCACTCTGTGTCCTATCTGCATCCAGGACCATCCTTGATGCTTAAGAGAAAATTTAAAAAAATAAATCTTCTAGAATGCTTTGTGGGAATCCATACTGAACACTGTGAGTGGATTGCTAAAGCCCTGAAGCATGAGCTTGCTTAGCCAAAATACAGATTTACAGATAATATAATGGCACAGTAATAATTTAATCCTAAGTCTATACCTTCAGTTATTCACACAATGGAAACTTGGCTTGCATCTCTACTCTTTGAATAGGCAATTTTGGTACCAGTATGTAATTATGGCTCCTCAATATAGCTCCTTCAATGTGCCAATCCAGTTGCAAACACCACTTAAATTGTGTGCTGTCGCTTGCTTTTATGAAGCTGCATCTTCACTCCGGAGAGCAAGGTCCATTCTAGATTATTTTTTTCATTTTTGATCTGCTGATTTCTTACAATTTTTCCATCCTCCTTTTTGGAGGTTTATAACTAAGCTTATAATCACCTAGACATTTTCTTTTAGCTTGGTTCAGAGGACAGATAGTAAAATGGCAAGGCACAGAAGCTGTGTGTATCTTTATTCATTACATCTCTGTTATTTTTTTCCTTTCAGTCATGCAATGAAGATCCCTTGCGCTTATTTCTCTCACCTTGGTTTATGTTTCAAATTGACAAGTGTCTGTTCAGTTGGGTAGGAGCCTGGTGATTAAGGATTCTGTCCCAAAAAAACTCTTTACAGGAGTATAGTCTTCTTATTACCAGAAGATTTTAAGCTAATCTCAGACTCCAAACTATACCTGGACGCCCATAAAATTGTATTCTTAGTATTAAAAAAGTAATTCATTATAGACTATCATTCTCACACTGCATATTCCTTTAATGCAGTTTAACTCACAATAAACATTAAGAAAAGGAAAAGGTACAGAGCACATAGGGTAGCATCTACATTTCCCCTTTTGCCTGTTCATAACTCATGTTTGTTTCTTCTCTTCTACAAGAAACACGAGAGTTGTGAGGTTTTCCTTTTTCAAACTAGCTCTAGTTAATCACTTGTTACTATGGAGTGATTTGTTTGTTTCTTTTATCTGAAGATCCTGGCAATGTAAAAGCAGAGTATATCCCACTAACAAATTAATACTAAAATTGCTTTATATCTGCTAGTGATATAGATCAGGTGAGGGAAAAATTTTGTAACAGAAAAGGATTACTCTGCAGTCTCGTAGCCCATGTACAAAAGATACTGCAATAGATTTGCAGTAACATTTGACAAATACAATATTTTAACATTATTGAACAAAATTAAAATGGAGTGCATTGTGGGTAGATAATCTATTGTTTATAATTCCCCTGTAAAAAATACAATCACGTACTCAGTACAGTCCTTGACCGAGTCACTAGACAACAGGGCATTTGCCTGGTTACTCAGTTCCTTTCATCATATGGAGTGTTGATCCACTCCCAGTACTGCTGATACAGGCTGGGAGTGGGAAGCATCTGCTTACATAACATCCAACAATCAGACTCAGGCTGTCACTGACTGCACTCATAAGAGAAAGGTTAACAGTGTCATTTGCTGGATGCCATTCCACAGTGCAACCAATGGGCACCAGCTGCAATTCTGTGCCAGTTTTCTCCTTGCTTTCTGACACTGCTTTAAATAATGTAAGAACTAGCAGTGATAAGTTCCTCTTCCTTCCCTAGGACAGATCTCCAACACTGATATAACCTTCCAGTTTGCAACAAATAGGGGAAGGGACTTGTGAACTCTTCTGTTCTCTTACCAATCTGCCTAGCCCAGCAGATCCCACCAACCTAGCAGCAGCTGTCTGCAGCCAGCCTGCATCTTTCGTCATCCAGAAATCCACCCTAGCAGCTCCTTTAGCTCCTAGTCTTGCTTCAGCTCAGTAAGCAAAGAGGGAGTTAACATAGGATTTGGAAGGTGAGAAGCTGAGGTGAGATACAGGAGGATTTAATGTGGATAAAAATGGAATTCCTGGGGGAGGAGATGAAGGAAGAAATTTTGGGTGTGGGGTGATGGATTTCTGTTAGAAGAGAAGGGAGTGATGTTCTTCTCTTTTGGGAAAGGAGAATGAGATGCATAAGGATACTCCTAGAGGACAGTGTTCGTGTCTTTTGTTTGGTCATTTGTGGGAAGGATATCCCCAAGATTTTCCTACAAACCATCCACCTGCAAATGCCACAGTACTTCAGCCCCTTTACTCTGTCTCTTATTACTTCCAGGTTTGCAAATTTACTGACCATAGGATATTGCATATGGCACTTTGCCCTATTAGTCAATCAAGAGTACAGTACTGTGCCAATAGCCTTGAATACAGAACATATGCCAATCTCAAATCACTAAAGGCAATGAGACAGAAACTTGAGAACTGAATGGGAATAGACAGAATGGAAACCCATGAAAACAAGGGAAGTACTATAAGGACATTTAGCATGATGAGGGTTTAAGTTGCTTTCAGCTCCAATAAGTTCCTTACCACTGAGTTGGTTATTTTAAGATTTGGCATGGTACCACCACACTGCAATGCCATCAGCCCTTTGCTTGGAAATCAACATCAATATAGTGCTTCAGAGTCTTTTTCTCATTTATCTATCACAGTGTTATTTTAATACACACAGTACCTCCTTGTATACGCAGTGAGCTATCTGTTAATCTGTTGAGATTTGTCCAGACTCTGTAAGATTATATGTTTGTTTTGAAGCTTCAAGAGTTACTTTAATCTCTGTGAAAAAGCAGCTGTAAAACAAGAAAGTAAACAGTCATGAATATAATTTTTGCCTGTTTAAATCTGAAAAGGAGCGTGCGGGAATATAGGCTCTTCTGATCTCAGTCAGTGTTGTTACTCTACATTTATAGAAGTGAAACCAAAGCCAGAACCTGGCCATAACATTGCTAACTCTAGCACAGTGGTTTCCAAAATGTTTATTAGAACATTGTCTGGAAAAATTGGAGAAGGTCCAGAGAAGAGCAACAAAAATTAAAGGCCTAGAAAACATGAGTTATGAGGGAATACTGAAAGAATTGGGCTTGTTTAGTTTAGAAAAGAGAAGACTGAGAGAGGACAAGATAGCAGTTTTCAAGTATCTAAGGGTATGGCTACACAGCAAAGTTATTTCGAAATAATAGCAGTTATTTCGAAATAACTTTCCTAGCGTCTACACAGCCATTCCGTTATTTCAAAATTAATTCGAAATAGCGGGGGGCTTATTTCGAAATTGGTTAACCTCATTCCACGAGGAATAGTGCCAATTTCGAAATTGCTATTTTGAAATAAGCGCTGTGTAGACGCTTATTTCGAAATAGGGGGCCTCCAGGCCTCTGCCCTGGCCACAAGGCAACTTCTGACCTGATGCCCTGCCAGAACTGGTTCCAATCAGCCTTAAATGCAATTCAACATCCACTCAGTGTGGATATGCTATTTCGAAATAGAAAAATGCTATTGAGAAATGCATTTTGTGTGTAGATGCGTTATTTTGAAATAAGCTATTTCAAATTAACTATTTCGAAATAGCTTATTTCGAAATAACATTGTAGTGTAGACATACCCTAAAAGAGTGTTACAAGAGTTGTAGCAAGGGATGTTTAGTTTGGACATTAGGAAAAACTTCCCAACTGTCAGGGTGTTTAAACACTGGAATAAATTACCTAGGGAGGTTGTGGAATCTCCATCACTGATGATATTTAAGAGCAGGTTGGATAGACATCTATCAGGGATGATCTTGGTACTTAGTCCTGCCTGAGGGCAGGGAACTGGACTTGATGATCTCTCGAGGTCCCTTCCAATTCTAGTATTCTGTGATTGGGAAGCAGAGCTCTAGCACTTGTGCTGAATATTGAGATTGAGGGACTTCTATCTAGTGTGAGGGTAAAAATAATAATATGCTGGTTTAGGGTAATATCCTGTCCACCATCCACTATGGGGATTTCCATTGATGTCAGCATAAATTTCATGGAGATTAACAGCAGCACATGGATCTCTACTTTATGGTGAAACTTATTTTTCTACCACTATTGGGCATCCTTGATCATTTTAGAAATCTCTCAAGATGGGTAGGGTTGTGGTGAATAGAGTGTGGAATGTAAAAAGCACTAAATATCAAAATCAACCACAAACAATAATTCAGAGTCACTTTCTTTTCTGGGCTTCATAAAATACAGCTGGGTGTGGCTTTTGTATACTCAATTATAATTGAAATGTAGGCTTGTACTATATATTTCACTCAGCTGTATAGATGTTTTTGTGTTGTTTTGCACACTGGTTCAGTGATTAAGTGCTTTGTGCTACCATATAGGGAACTAATTTTAATCAAGTTCTAGACTTTTGCTCTATGGGTAAACAAGCAAAATGTGAGAACTTCCCAAACTTACTATGATCTACTCTAGGGTGAGGAAGAACTTTGATTTGAGTACTAGTGTTACGTGATCAAACCATGAAATATCCTCCCTTTGATCTATCATTTATTTCTCACTCTATTAGGATAATAAAACAAAAGAATTCTGTTTAGGCTTTCCTGAAGTGGAATTTTTCTTAAAATCCCTTTCTGCAAAAAGTTTAATGCTTTTAATGTTTTATCTCTTTTTGGGAGTAAACTTTTACTTAAAAACATGAAAAGTGTTGTGGAAATGGGTTCCTCTTTTTGGCCAGCTGTATTTGTAACACTCACTTCTTGTGCTGTGTTGATTATGAAGTCCATGCTTCTTGAGGAAGGCACCAGGTTTACACACATTTTTGTGAAATGTCTCATTTTTGCTTCTGTCAGCTTTCCTTACTCCTTGCAGGAGCAGGAATACCGGCCACCGAAGGGGGCACTTTCTGAGTTAGATTTAGCGGGTCTTTCTAAATTAAGGTTGGGGAACCTTTTTTAGTTCTGGGGTTGCTGACCCACAGAAAAATCAGTCAGAGGCCGTACACAAAGGAAAAGAAAAAAACCAAACAAGCAAACCCTCACTGACGTGTCCCCTAAGCCTAAAGGGCCAGATCCAGGCAATCCAGCGGCCACACCCAGCCCCTGGGCCTGAAGTTCCCCACCCCTGCTCTAAATCAAACTCTGGAAGATCTGTCGTAGAGTGTAGACAGGGCTTCATGATTCATTCCCAGAATACTGTCTCTCCTGTACACTGAATGAGTCAGGGACCCTTTGGGGGGGGAAAAATGGAAAAACGCATAAGTGGTGTGAAATAAGTTGCACAGACAACCCTAAATCTGACATTTCCTGACTTTCGAGAGCATGACTTTGCAAATTTCAAGTGTTTTTATTTTTAACATAGGGGTGTGTGCATGTATCTAAACTACTAGTGCTGAAAGCACGCTATTTAGGGCAGTCCTTAAGCACATGGTTATACTTTTTAAACAAACTGTAGGAATTTCTGTTCTGAAACAGACCAACTCCTTTTTTTCCACTTCTGTTTTAGGAATGACAAATTATTGTGAGAAATACCGGGGAGGAATGATACATGTTCTGAAAACCTTTGGACCAGTGCCAGATTTTTCAGGTGAAACAGAGCAGAAAATCAGCCAGGTAAGTGTACAAAACTGAATTGATGTGATATCCCATTGCATCAGACACATCTAATACAGCCTTTTTTCATTACTTCAAAATAACAAATACTGGCTTTAATTTTGTTATAGTGATCACTTGTTTGAGTGGCCTCTGATCTATATTTTTCAGCAAGAGTATGCACTTGGACTAAATGAAAATGCTGAAATAGAATTTACATTATAACATAAATCCCTTTGTAAAGCGCTTTGATATCTATGGATGAAAAATCATAGAAGTGTAGGACTAGAAGGAGTGTAGCTAGATCATCTAGTCTAGCCCTCTGCTCCGAGTGTGGACTAAGTATTGCCACTAGACTGTCCCTCAGAGGTGTTTGGCTAATATATTCTTTAAAATCTCCAATAATAGAGATTCTACAATCTCTCGTGATAATTTGTTCTAGTACTTAATTACCCCAGTGTGCTTATCCTTAAATCTTATCTAAGGGTACGTCTAGACTACATGCCTCTGTCGCCAGAGGCATGTAGATTAAGCTACCAGACATAGGAAAATGAAGCGGCGCTTTAAATAATCGCCGCTTCATTTAAATTTACATGGCTGCCGCGCTGAGCCGACAAACAGCTGATCAGCCGTTTGTCGTCTGGACGCGTGGGTGTCGACATCAAAGGTATTTGTCGACCACCCAGGTATGCCTCCTGGGATGAGGTTTACCTGGGTGGTCGACAAATACCTTTAATGTCGACACCTGCGCGTCCAGACTATCGCACTGAGCCGACAAACAGCTGATCAGCTGTTTGTCGGCTCAGCGCGGCAGCCATGTAAATTTAAATGAAGCGGCGATTATTTAAATTGCCGCTTCATTTTCCTATGTCTGGTAGCCTAATCTACATGCCTCTGGCGACAGAGGCATGTAGTCTAGATGTACCCTAAGAGTTTTGTAGCATTATCATAAGCTTTTCTTTATGCCTTGGTAGAATTCTGAGCATTAGTGTTGATGCATCTCACAATGTTCATAGACAATTGGTGGTTGTACACAACAGTACGAGATATGCTTTCTGCATGTTTTGTTCATGTCTGTCTGTGCTGATGAACAGAACTTAGAAATCTGATTGTTGGCATACCTATGTGACATGTTATGAATAATATTTGATAACAGTTTCTTGTTCTTCTTTGAGCTCACATCAATTCCATTTTAGATGTGTGCATGCCCTTGTGTATAGTTGTCAGAGAATCCTGCCATAGCAGTATCCATAGGGCTGGCTGTGGCCCTTCTGAAGTGCTGTGCTCATGTGGTAATATCTCAGGTGCCACAGGCCCTGTGCACTCGCAGTTCCTCCTTACTTCCTGTGATGGTCAGTTAGAGCACCTTGTCTTGCGTTGCATGAGCATTAATGGATCTTCACTGTTCAGATTGTTCTTCTTTGTTGTGTAGTTAAGTAATTAGTTATCTGGTAAGTGTTTTAGTAGTAGTTTAGTAGTCAGAGCTGGGACTTTATCCTGGAGAAGGGCATGCCCCATTACCCAGGCTTCAAGCCATGTTCTAAGTGCAACTATCCAATGCCCATCAGTAACCCTCCTGATAGCTATTTAAAATGTTTGGGGCAATCCCATAGAAAAGTTACAAAAAGATCTACAAAAAGTTTTATCCCTGGACTCATGGAGGCCACTCTGTGGATGGTATCAGATCTCTTACGCTCAGCATCTCCACCTGACACTGTGGCTTCAGTATACAGTGCAGCACCAGCTCCAGAATTCTCCTGGCACCATCCCCCCTCATCAGTACCAAAGAAGCAGTATAAATCAAGTGGGCCGCCAGCACCATGCAAGAAAGGAATTTCAGGCAAAGGACCTCCTGCCCACTACAGAGGTGGTTCTTTGAGTTCTGTCCCCGTGGGTGCTCCACTGTAGGCCCATCCCAGCGCTGCAGATTAGAGACTTTCAATAGCCATAGTTGGCCGGACTGCATATGCGTGGTGAGCGTCTTGCACTGTTCGCACCTTTTGCCTCATGCGCGCGGTCCAGCTCCCACCAGTTCCTCTCAACCACCCTCGGTCACAGACGGAGCTCTCTCTCTCTCTCTCTCTTTCATATCTGTCTAGTCAGAAAGGAAAAATTTGTAGGTTTTAGTTACTAGTTGTAGTTAAGGTTACCTGTTTATTGTTAATAGTCATAGTTATAGTTTTAGTTTTAAAAAACCAAAACCCTCAGCTGTTCTTCGTTTCTCTGGCCTTCAGACCACAGCAAAAGAGAAAAACCTCAAAAAATGTCATCTCTGCCAGGAGCCTTTGCCGGCCTCATATGGCCATTCGTCCTGCATCTGCTGTCTGGGCGAGGCTCATGTGACACAGAAATGTGCCCATTGTTCAAAATTGACAGCCAGGTCTCGGTGCAACAGAAAAATGTGCCTTCGAATGATTTTATTTGACAAAATGCAGGACAATGTAGCACTTTAAAGACTAACAAGATGGTTTATTAGATGATGAGCTTTCGTGGGCCAGACCCACTTCCTCAGATCAAGTAGTGGAAGAAAGTAGTCACAGCCATATATACCAAAGGATACAATTAAAAAAAGGGAATCCCTGAACTGTCATTCATGTTAAAATTCGACACTTTCCAAAAAGGACTCAACAAACATTTGAACTATCTCACCCATTACCAAGATAGTTTCCCCAATTATCACCTCTAATACCATTAACTCACAAACATCAACAGGTGTGTTGTAAGCAAAACTCGTGAAGTCATTCTGCCGCTCTACTCTGCACTAGTTAGGCCTCAGCTGGAGTACCCCCCCCGCATCCTCCTCCTGTTCTGAAATGTGATTTGTCCTTTTCATATTTGTTCATTTTTTTTAATTGTATCCTTTGGTATATATGGTTGTGACTTTCTTCCACTATTTGATCTGAGGAAGTGGGTCTGGCCCATGAAAGCTCATCATCTAATAAACCATCTTGTTAGTCTTTAAAGTGCTACATTGTCCTGCATTTTGCTTCAGCTGCCCCAGACTAACACGGCTACATCTCTATCACTTTATTTGACAAGGCACTCCAGCCATCGGACGCCTTGTCTACGTCTGTCTCAGACCCTGCTGTGGCACAAAAACATAGGGCATCATCTCCGAGGGTAGCCCCAACAAAAAGAAAGCGGGTTTCACTGGTGCGTTCTCTGCCGCCGGCCCTGCTGATCAGGGTAAGCATGGGGGACAAACCTGGAACATCTGGCACCGCCTCTTCCTATGCAAAGGCGGGTTCAGCCGTGAGATCTAAGAAAACACCAGCTGTGGTACCAACGGCACCAAGGTCAACAACGGCACCAATGACCTCATCAGCTAGGGCACTGGCACCCAGCCTGGCTCCAATGGCACCACTGGCACTGATATTTATGACCGCCTCAGTGGTACCACCTGCACACGCGACTAGAGCGCCGGTGCTGCAGTCTAAGCCAGCGCTGGAAAGGTCGGACATTTCCCCAGCACTAAGGAAAGTCCCTGCGAAGACCAATTTGCATAGGAGTCCTACTCCTATTTCAGTCTCCCTTACAGTTTCACCGGCGCTGTCACCCTCTCCACTGGCACAGAGATCACCGGTGCTGCACAGTTATCACATGAAATGAGAGGAACCAGCATACTCCCTGCATGTCAGGTCTCCATCCCCATACCACGCAGAGATTCCCGATACCATGCCAGACACCTCTCTCTTTTTTCACCCCCCTCCTCCAGGGTCTCTGTAGTTTTTCCCTGCTCTCACCTGTACGGTCTCCGCATGCAACATATAGAAGGGACTACAGGCATACCTGCTCCTCTAGGCAGTCATCACCGGGTCGGTCTCACCATAGTCATTGGGAGCACTCACCTCATTATTCCTTCCACCACTGTCATCATTCCAGGAGATGGTCCCCCTGCTACTGTAGATCTCCTAGGTATACACCTTCCTTGGTAACTCCGTGAGATCGACATCCTTCCCCATCACCACACTGAAGCCTGCTATCTCAAGTGCACCACTCAGAACCAGAGGAGGGACCATTGTCAGCGGTTGAAGAACAACAACCTGACACTTTGCCTACGGACCAATCATCATCCTCTCCTGACAAAGCTGTGATTCCGAGTGACACATCCGCCTCCCCCCGCCACCTACTGATGATCTTAAGCAGTTCCAGGACTTAAGAGAGTTGTATCAAGTCAGGAAGTTCAATTGGCTGAGGTGCAGGAAAAGCAGTACTACCTCCTTAAAAATCTCCAGCCCACACAGCGGGCCAAAATAGCATTCCCGGTCAATGAGACGATCATGGAGGCTGCAGAGGAGTTTTGGCAAACACCTGCCTCTGCTCTGCCAACAATTAAGAGGACGGATAAGAAATACTTTGTGCCATCAAAGGGGCTGGAATTCTTATTCAACCACCCTCAGCCGAATTTGCTTGTAGTAGACACCGTCCAACACAGGTCTAAGGCCCCTCAATATAGGAACATGATAACAGAAAAAGACAGCAAAAGATTACACCTTTTCAGTAGAAAGGTATACTCCTCTGCTACTCTACTACTGCACATCGCGAATTATGCAGCACTCTTGTCGAATCACAATTTCAACAAGTATACCAAACTTACTACACTGATAGAGCATCTCCCAGATGCCAAACAACCAATTTTAAAATCTATAGTACAGGAGGATTATGCCTCAGCCAGAACAAGCCTTCAGATCGACATGGATGTCATGGACACTGCTGCCCATTCTACAGCTACCGCAGTTGCAATGAGGAGGTCTTCATGGCTACAGTTGATGGGAGTTCCGAAGGAGTTGCAGAGCAAAGTGGAGGACCTCCCCTTCGACAAACAAAAGCTTTTCATGGAGAAGACAGACAAAGTCCTCCACTCTGGAAAAGATTCTCATAATATCCTTCGGATGCGGGATATGTACACGTCTCAGAATCGCAGGAAACGATACATGCCCTACCAGAGATGCCATGATTACCTGTACAACCAGCAACAACAGCAATATGGCTTTGACCAGTTGCGATCAAGGCAGCATCCCCAAAGAAGGCACAATCAAACCATCCATACCTCTAATCAACAGGCAAGTAAGCAGCAGATTTGACTCTTTGGTTGAGGGCTTCCAACCAGACCCAGTTGTCATCCCGGAGCATCACGCCTCAGGTCTTTTCCACTATTGCCTGAAGCTGTTTTATCACAAATGGACCACCATAACCTCCAGTTGTTGAGTTCTGGAGATCGTGTTGTCTTGTTTCACCAACCCATTCCTTTCTCTGCCTCCAGCCCACCCTGTCCCTCTTCAGGGACCCTACTCATGAGAACTTGTTGAAACAGGAGGTCCATCATCTCCTATCCATTGGAGCCATAGAGAAGGTATCGGACATGTTCAGAGGAAAAGGGTTCTATTCTTGCTATTTCCTCACACAGAAGAAAACAGGAGACTGGACACCCATTCTCGATCTCTTGAACAACGGTTCAAAATGGTGACCCTCACATTTCTACTACCAGCCCTAGACAGCGGGGATTGGTTTGCAGCCCTCAACCTCCAGGATGCTTACTTCCACATTACCATCCATTCGGCACACAGGCAATTTCTACATTTTACAGTAGGCAGGGAACATTTCCAGTATCGAGTGCTTCCCTTTGCCCTTTCATCAGTCCCCAGGGTATTCTCAAAAACTTTAGCAGTGGTGGCAGCGTACTTGCTTCGAAAAAGCATTATAATCTTCCCCTACCTCGATGACTGTGTAATAAAAGCCCTCACTTGGGTGGAAACACAACCTATGGTGGCAATGGCCAGACAGACTTTAGACTCTCTAGGCCTAATTGTCAACGAACAAAAGTCCACAATTACCCCTTTTCAGACCCTGGACTTTATAGGTGCTCGACTCGACTCCATAGCAGCCTGATCCTAATTACCCATCCAAAGGTTCCAGTCGATCCAGGATCTAATTTCTATACTGATTACCAGCCCAAAGGTCTCAGTTCTCACTTGCCTACAACTAATGGGCCATATGGCTGCAACAACTTACGTAGAGCCTCACGCCAGACTACATTTCCACTGCCTTCAGCATTTGCTGGCATCGGTGTACACTCTTACAAGACATACACAAAATGGTTTCTCCTTCTGCCAAAGTGTGCACTTCCCTTGAATGGTGGACTGATCCACACAACCTCTTGGTGGGCTTTCCATTTCACTGATCTCAGCCTTCAGCACAACTTACTACAGACGCTTCCCTTGTCAGCTGGGGAGCCCATATAAATGACATATCCATGCAGGGCAGGTGGTCACCATCAGAGACAACCCTCCATATAAATCACCTCAAGCTGAGAGCGGTTTTCAGTGTTTGCAGACATTTCGAGGAATACATCCGTGCAACAACTATCAGCATACTCGCCAACAACATTGCCACAGTGTATTACATAAATCACCAAGGTGGAGCACACTCTTGATCCCTCTGCGCAGAGACGGTCTGTCTCTGGAATTGGTGTTTTCGCAACAAGACCACTTTAATAGCATCCTACTTACCTGGCGCCAACAATGTTGTGGCAGACTCGCTGAGCAGACATTTCACACCTGACCATGAGTGGGAGATCCACACCGACATACTCCAGCATATCTTTCATCATGGGGTTTCCCTCTGATAGACCTCTTCGCCACTTGCAAGAATGCAAAATGCCAATATTACTGTTCTAGGGCAGGCATAGTTGGGGATGCCTTCTTTTTCCATTGGGGGGACTCCCTTCTATATGCATTTCCTTCTATCATGCTCGTGCCCAGGATTCTGGACAAGGTCAACACGGACACAGCCAAGCTGATTCTCATAGCCACCGCCTGGGCACATCAAACATGGTTTTCAGTCCTTCACCGAATGTCTCTGTAGCCACCATATACCCTTCCCAGCCTCCTGGACTTGCTGTCCCTGGACTGCAGCTCCCTCTTGCACCTGCAGCCCCACACTCTGCATCTAACCGCTTGGCTCCTAGCAGTCTCTGTTTGGACCAAATCAAAGATATCCTGATGCAAAGCAGGAGAAGCACCACTCAAGCTACTTACCTGTCCAAATGGCGAAGGTTTGCTTCGTGGTGCTCTGTGAATGGAATCAATCCACATGCCCCACTTATACACCAGATCCTCGACTATGTTCTTTACCTGAAACGAACGGGTCTGTCGATTGCTTCCTTGAGGGTACACCTTGCAGCGATTACAGCCTTTCGCCATTTGATAGACAGAACTTTGGTGTTTGCACACCCAACTATGAAGAGGTTCCTGAAAGGATTGACAAACCTTAATCCGCCTCGTAGACCCCCACGCCCATCCTGAAACCTAGACCTAGTGCTGGACACTCTTACTCAGCCCCCCTTTGAGCCCCTGGCCACTTCATCACTTTGGATGTTGACGCTCAAGTTAGTCTTCCTGCTTGCTATAACATCAGCCCGTAGGGTCAGTGAGCTTGCGGCACTGATGTCAGGACCGCCATATACAACAATTCAACACTATCAATAAAGGCAATTTCCCTTCTCTGGATATTCACATCTCCACACCAAATGTTGTGAATGGCCCACTTCTACCCTGACTTGATTAGCTTCATTAACGCAAGAAACTTCTTCCTCATATATACTCCCGCTTCTGTAACTTCCACTCTAATTCATGTCATGAACTGGGTTTTACCCACAAAATCTTATGCCCTAATAAATCTGTTATTCAAGGTGCCACAGGGTTCCTCCTCATTTCTACTACCAGCTGTTCCTCTTCCTTCAGTTATCTATTTAACATATAGATATTTAAAGCTTTAATCCTTACACTTAACCACTACCATCAACTTTCCTGCACATCGTTTTGAGTATTGTTTTTGCCTCTAGTTGCAGCTTGCTGCCTTGTCATGGTTTCTAGCAGTTGGAGCCTGTTTAATAACTTAAGCTTGCTCCTGACCCTACCCTTGCAGGAAGTGATCGCTTCATTTCTTAGATGTGTGTCACCTCATAATTTTACCTCTGTTAGACTGCACTCCCCAAAAATGACACTGTCATGAACATAATTTGAGAGGAGTATATATAGAAAAAAGTCAAATCTTCAAACTCCCACATATGTACTTGAATTAGAGCATGTATCTTGCTGCCAAAAAGGCCAAGGCCAGATCTCCTCCTTTCTATTTAATAAAGGGATTCTGTCAGAAGGGCTTGACAGCTGCCTTGTGGGCAAACCAAGCAGACAGGTGAATGCTGAGTTGCTGCTTATAAGCTTATATGGCTGGTCTACAACTAGGATGTTAGGCTGAATTAGCTGTATTGCTCAGGGATGTGAGAGAGTCAGATTCCTGAGAGATTGAGGTACAGCTGTTCCACGGTAGCATTTCTAGTATGGACATACCCCCAGGTTTCACTACCAGTGCTACTCTACTGTAGTGAAGGATGAGAGCTCCCACCTCCAAGAACAGGTTCTCCACTATAGAGATTAACTAACCACCAACTAGTGCATCAGACAGCCTGAAAATAAACTAAAGTATGAATTAACAGTATTCTCTTTTCCATGGAAAAGAGGCATGTTGGCCTTAAACAGGCAAGGATTTAAACAGGCAACTAGTGGCCCTTGTGACCCTATTGTATGTTATCATCAGAATCAGAACCGATGTGACAGTTACCAGCATGACTGTTACTCTGAAGAGGGGAAAAAAGACAAAAACAATCTTGGGAAGAAATTCCAACATAAGGTTTAATCTTCTATTTTCTTTATTATAGGCCATGAGTGAAAAAACTCCAGCTGATCCAGAACACCTCAAGGCCAGGAGAGCATGGAGAGATGAATGTCTTATGGGCCTTGCCAAGTTGAAGAAACAAATGAAATCCAACTGAGTTGCATTTTCTATAATACACAGGGGCAAATTATTTGTAGGTCTCCACAAAAGTGGGTGCTTCTGTTTCCATAGGCAAAAATCTGTATTTGCTGGTACAGAGCAGGTGACTCAATATGCATGCAGTGAATTTTGCCAAATGTGATCCAAACGGCCATTACATTATTAATTAGTGACAAGAAACTAATTCATAAAAACTTTGCATCTGATTATTCTAAATGCTTTAATACTAGCTTCTGCAGATTTGTGGCCCTGCCAGTCCCAAGATATTAGAGAGACAAGGTGAGTTAGTGAGATAATATACTTTATTGGACCAACTTCTCTTGGTGAGAGAGAGCAGAAGCTGATCCAGTAAAAGTATAACCTCACCCACCTGGTCTCTATAATACTAGCTAGGATCAGCATTATTAATACTGTATACTAGACAGGCACACGATTTTTAAAATGATGCATTTTATAATCTTGCTTGGTGATATGTAGCCTCAGCCGTGCTTGGGGTCCAGGGACAGGCAGTCATTAGCTGTTTATCATTATGGAACAAATTCTGCTCCCCATAATCGTCTGTTGATATGGTGAGCTCTGTCTAATTCCACTGCATTGGGGTGAAAAGAGAATTTGTGGAATGCATATAGGGAACAGAAAAGGATCCACAGAATAGGAGCATAAAATAGCTTCTGGGGTTGGTGCAACCCGGCTCAGTAGCAATTCCACAAGCTTGGTGAGAAAATAACTTTCCCGTCCCTCCTCCTTCCCTTAGGCACTTAGATACCATGGTGATAGAGAAGGCGTAAGTACCTGAATAGAACAGAGAAGAACCTCTCCCTGCCCCCCAGCTTCTATAGAACTCATCAGGGCCCCACCTGGTTTTTCAGGCTGAGTACTTGACAGCCCATGACTGCCCTGAACAAAGTCAGCCATTTTTTATGCCACCAGTTGTTTATTGCTACCTAGAAATTCAGAATAAGTATGTCCCATTTAGGTCTCTCTAGAAGTGATAAAAAGGTGATTAGTGTTATTTTTAAATTGAGTTAGCTACCTGAAGAGGTGAGAGGGTGTAGTGAACATTGAGCTGAGCTCTGCAGTCTCTTCCCAGCTCTGCCACTGACATGTGTGACCTTGGGTGACTCACTTCTTCCTCTGCCTCTGTTTTGTCTCTAGCCTTTTGTTTGTGTACCAGTTAGCTCTTTGGGGAAGGAACGGTCTCTGTGTCAGTGCCTACCATGGTGAAGCTTTGATTTTGGTTTGAACCTTTGAGCACTAAAGTAATATAAATAATACATAGAACTCTGCAAATCTGCAGCTACCCACTTTATATCCACAGAACGTAGACGGTGTAAAACAGTGGCTATGTTGTATGGTGTTTCAAACCCTGGCAGCTAATATCATTTTAAAAATGCATTTCTCCCTGTTCTAGAGGAGGTCAGAGAAGGTTTTAATAACTCTTTTTAAACAAGATTATTTCCTTTTTGCTATGTTCAAGTCTCATGACATTTTAGCTGATATATTGCTTTGCTTTGCTTTAGCTTGTTTTGACATCATTGTAAATTTATCTCATCATCAAAAATCTGCCTCCATTTCTCTCTTTGCTTATGAATAAAAGGTTCCAATGAAATATACTGACTTTCACAAAGGCCCTGTGTGATATTTTACTGGTTACACTCAGGGCCCTAACCTGCATGGGGCAAATGGATTTACCACCTAGGGCACAGAGTCATGGACAGGTGACACAAGTCACCATGGAGCTCAGTGGGGCCAGTTGTGCAAGGCAAGGCTTGGGGAGGGAGTGCCATCTCCACCCCTACTCACCTTTAATATACTGACTTTCACAAAGGCCCTGTGTGATATTTTACTGGTTACACTCAGGGCCCTAACCTGCATGGGGCAAATGGATTTACCACCTAGGGCACAGAGTCATGGACAGGTGACACAAGTCACCATGGAGCTCAGTGGGGCCAGTTGTGCAAGGCAAGGCTTGGGGAGGGAGTGCCATCTCCACCCCTACTCACCTTTGT